AAATATAAATCAACATCTTGTGCCATAACAGGTCAACGAGTTTTAAAAGTCTAAAGGATCAGAGGCATGCTTGTGCTTTTTGTGCAGAAAAAAAAACACATCTCGGAGTGTTCTTACCGAGATTAATTAACAGAATAAAAGTGAAAAGAAAAATATCAAGAAAAAAAATCAAGGATTAAACGCGCTATATTTATTGCTCCTTATCATTGTTTTCCCAAAGTTTCAGTGAACTCAATTTTGTTGAGATTTCTCTTTGAAAGCCATCAGCTCTCTCTGCCTAAATTTTTACGGCTTCCGCGGAGAAAGCATAGACCTATCACAATCTTTAACACACGATCAAAAACCTCTCATAGTAAAAAGAGGACCAAAAATAGCTAAGATTTAATCTGCCTTCTTACAGTGGTCCTACCTGCGATTAAAAGGAAAAAAAACTCAAATTTAAAAATTGGATGTTTAATTGTTTAGAGGACGCAGCATTATAGTCGGTTTGCTCATCTTATTTTACTCAGAGTACAAATGTTGCAGCGGAGAAAAGAGAAAAACCCTGGAAAAATACCCTCATGAATGTAGAGATTTTCGTCACAGAACAGGACAGAATGGAAGTTATATTTCCGCTGTAGACCCACCTTTAAGACTCCTATTCGACAGGAAATTCGGGATTTGTGTTCTATAAAATTGTGTTAGTAATGAAACAGAAAAAAGTTTGGGAAAGATGCAGCTCCCTCTCTTAAAGATGAGAAGCTTGGAAAGCAAAAGGGTTAAGAGCAGGAAAATTGAGGTATTGTAACTTAATTGGGTTACAACTGCACGAAGGGGCCGTACCTTAATTACGTGATGCAATTTTCCGGCATTTTTGACCTCCTTAAACCCCCATTCCCCTTGTAACGTTTTTGTGACGTAGGTCCTTATCCTATAACACATAAAAACAAAATTGCGATAACGCTCTATTCAACCCCCCCTTCCCCTCCTTCCACCCTGGAGCGCTACGCAATTTAGAGGATAAGATCCTAATTTGTATCAGAACATATTCTGGTTTGTTAGTCACCCAAAGGTTTATGTTTTGTTCACTTAATTGATAGTGAAGTTGGCAAACTTGAAGTTTTTGAAAGATTGGGAATGATTTATGCTATGATAGCTATTGGCATTTTAGGGGGACGACCCTTAATCCTACTTATCTTTCAAGCCCCTCAGATGATTTTTTTTTTTTCACAAAAAAAAATTGAACCACTGTTCGCCCGTAGCGTTGTCCGTGGGCCGACCGCGGTCGGTGATCGCTATCAATCCATCTCGGCTGAATTATAGTGAACTGATCCATCAACATTGCAGCGTTTAAGCCTCCGCTTCTCTTTTTATGCTTTTATTTATACCAGCTCCAGTTTTCTTTATTCGCCCGACCTCCGAGCTTGAAATAGACGCTCGCGTCGGGTCCTGCTCCCGTGTGAGGGTGTGTAGGTGCGTGTGCGTGTGAGGGTGCGTGTGCTTGTGTAGGTGCGTGGCTCCTAAAAGTTTGATCAAATGATGCGTAATTTATGGCCTCTTCTCACATCGTCCCCCAAGTCCATCTCCCTTCCACTCGTAAATCACAAGTACTTAAGTCGCCGAGATCCTAAATTTCATGGCAACTATACGAGCCAGTCAACTTCAACTGATTGGACCAATTCAGCACCCGGAAATAGAATTGCCATCGGAGTCATCACTGAAATATTTTTTTTTATGCATTTAGACGAATTGGTTTTTTTCACAAGAACATAGAAAGCAGCATAGTTTCCCTGGCGTATCCTCGTTGCATTAAGGAAAATGCGTCAAAGAGGCGACTTGGTTAAGTCAAGTAAGATTTTAGTTATGATAATGGAAGTTTATCCGGCATGCTGAAATGTTATCAGTAGGTTTGAATAGGAACATTTCATCACGATAAAATTACTTCCATCAGCTTATCTAAGATTTTACTTTTCGTTATTGAGTAGGTACCTTGAAGCAAAGCTCCTCCTGCAAGGAAAATAGTTTTCTTTGTCGTGATGAATCCGACTTTTCTCAGTTCGTGTAAAAGAGGAAACAGGGTGCACCCTGCACCGTTACAAAATTGCAAGGCCGTAGCCGAGTATCATTTTATCAGCTCAATTTGTTTCTTACTATTTGTGAAATGTCGATAACACTTCCTTCATTAAATGAAGAGCATTGTATTCTGAAGTAAAAAATAACTCCGTATTTTGAACAGAAGAACGCTCTTAGCAGAGAAAAATATTCCAGTCGGTATTTTCAGGAATTGAATTTTTAAAATAAACTGGAATTCCCTCGACGTTCGCCTTCAATTCGCCGGGTCGGCAAGAACAGCTCCCACGCGTTTAAATAGTCGCATTCTCAGCATTCAATCTGTGAGGGACGTTTCCGTGGAATGCATTGAGCAAAACCCGCTCAGTTGGCTTCTATGGATCGCGCAGCGACGGTCATTCTCCATATTCCCACTTCGCAGAAGGGTCTACTTTACATTTCGGGGTCTCGAAATTTTTTGAGGAATGGACGGATCGCGTGATCCCACGCAAACATACTTGTATGTTATACCAGGAGCTTGTTGCATTTAATTAAGTCGGAGGTATAGTGATCGCTTGAGTAAATTCATCGCAGCATCCCCTGAGGGCCATCCGGCGCTTCGTCATAAATTCGTGTAATAATTCGTGACGTAGGATTATCCTACCGTGCTGAGTAAAAACGCCGTATGAGCCATCAGGCGTTGTCAAATTTACTTCGATAAATCACGAATTTTCAGAAAAATTTGAGAATATTTCTTCCCCGATTTTTTTCAAAGGATTTCGTTCGTGATTTTATCTGAAATGTCAGAAAATTTCAAGGAAAAACGTTCATAAGTTTCTCCTGAAATAAATATTTTCAAAGAAGAAACTTGGCAACATTCGAATGCTTATATGGCGTTTTCACTTAGCACGGCGGTATTGTGTCCGAACTCCAAACGCATGGCGGAGAGACAAGTTTTATTAATTTTCTCGTCGTCGAAAATTGGGGTTGTTATCTTTTCGGCCATCATCGTTTTTCGGCCGGTCCGTGTTCGTTCGTCTAACCCCTTCACTCCTGCTTAACCAAATATTGAAGTGCGTTGTTCGTTCCGTTTCGGGGCTGTCAGCTAGACACGGTTATTTACCGGGTCGAAGTTCCTTGCCTCGGTGGTCAAATATTGATGAATGAATTTGTTGCCCTCTCGCGCTTGTTGTAATATCCATTCAGCAGTAATCTTCCTAAGCCTCCATTGACCCAATTACTTTATTCTCCTCGTAGCACTTCTAACCCGAGTTCATCGCATAGGTGGAGATAAAAAGATTCTCTGAAAAAAAAACTGCGGCCGAAAGCTGAAGCTACGGCTCCAGCACCCGGAACTTTTGGCCCTAAGCCCGGAACGGACGGTATATCTACACAGCCCGTAGTTTTTTTTTTTTTTTTTTTTTTTCAGTGTTAGTTGCGCAGTGCTCATCGTGGACTGCAGATCCCGCCGATCCTCTTTAAATTCAAGGAATTCTGTTTCACGCAGTTTGTGTTAATGATACAGAAATTGTGGAGATTTCTTGAATTTTTGCATCCCCTCTCTCATGGCATTCCACGTCTTAATCGAGTTTTTGCAGCATGGCGCTATCTGAAAGTCACTTGCGACTTTTTCAGGCTAATCAGTTAATGACGTGGTAACAACTCGTGTTTGTTTTGTCCGACCGCGGTGTGTTTGTTTTATCGCAACACCGAAGAGGCATGAAAAAAGCATTGTATACTCGTTAATCGATGTTTCGTGCGAGAGGTGCTGTTTCCTAACGAGGCGGAGTAGCCATCGAATAAGCCGTACAAAGTGTTGGCAACTCTAAATGAGAAAAGAAGAGTAAAGTTCGCGGAATCTTCACAAGTTTCAAGAGCAACAGCCGTCACGTTTTTTCTATCAAGTCATTGTACACAAACGTGCAAGTTAAAGATTTTTTTTCTTTCAGTTTCACCAATCGAAGAATTTCCAGCGGATGTCTCAAAATTTTATGACCAAATTTGAGCCAATTGAAATTTTCCAAGAGGAGCCTCTGCATTTTTAACTGAAAATTTCACTGATTTTTCTTCTGGTCCCTCGCAAAAAGCAGGGAAATTTTGGATGAAATATGGACAGATACATCACACTGGAAAAAACACATTGGATCTAGAGTCCAGACTCTTGAGAACATTGACAAAAAAAAATACTCTTGATTCAATCAGATTTTTGCTTAAATCAACAGGAAATCCGCTCAAATTAAGAGGCTTGGTTCTTGATTCAAGCAAAAATCCGATTGAATCAAGAGTATTTTTTCTTGTCGATGTTTTTAAGAGTCAGGACTATGGATCCAATGTGTTTTTTTTTTCTAGTGTTTTGTGAAAAATAGAATCGTTTTAGTCAATTTTGCAACCTTGGAATGGAGTTACGCTCTCTCTTCCTTGAAACGACGATGTGTGCTCTTCTACCGTGCTAAGGAAGAACACCGTACGAACATTCGAGAGTTGCCAAACTTCCCTTTGTAGAACATATATTTACGACGACCTTCATGCATATTTTCCCCTGAAATTTGTAGATATTTTAGATTAAATTGTGTGCAAAATTGTCTGAAAATTTTGGGAAAAAGTATTCACAATTTTCCTAATAAAGTCGTTTTTTATCGAAGGAAACTTGGCACCGTCTCGTCTGGAGGCTCATACGGCGTTTTTCCCTAGGACAGCAGACTAGGGGTGGAGTTGGATTTTACGGGGTATCAGCAATAATGTATGTTTCAAGCCGCTATTATAGCGCTCTGCGACCCCCAGCCGCCAAAGTCTCCTGTCCTCCCAAAGCCCTTCAGGGAGTTGACAAACCCTCATTTGATCAGCAATAATCATGGCGCAATAATCGTTAGTTATGCAGGAATGATTCCAATTTCCAGGTTTCGTTTTTCACGCCCCCTTTTTCGAAGAATTAATGACTTGTCGACTAATGACACTATGGTTTTCTGTTTCAGCTCTATGCTACGGCGACACGGTCAACTGGCACGCCATCGTGGAGAATGTAACGATCTCGCCGCCGCCGGTGGAAGTGACCGTATCCAAGGAGTGCAATAAGTCGAGAGCCGAATACTGCCGCCACTGCCCGAGCGACTACCAGTACTGCTGGTCGGGGGAGCCCGGCACCTGCCAACCACGCACGCCCAAGTACCCGGCCAACTTCTGCCCTCGCCTCGAGACCCCGGATGGCACCTGCGTCACAGAATGCCCGCGTCCTTTGTAAGTCATTTCTTCGAGCGTCTCCCGAGTGTAGATAGAGCATCGAAAGATTCGGTTTTCAAACTGGAATTTGAGCAATTAAAAATAAAAAAAATAATAAAAAAAACCCCTCATATACATAAGTGCTTTCCCAAGATATCGACGGCGAAACTGCAAAAATACAGATCTCGGTTGCGGTGTTCCGTAATCTCCGCTACTATTTTATTTTTTAAAAGGAGACTGAACTAACATAAGAGAAATACGACGTAGTAGCCAGATTCCAGTAGCCAGAGAAAAGTTAAGAACGAGGATCGATTATTACGGCTCTCCCATTTACGGCTGTGTTACTCATACAGGCTGTATAACTCCGTTACAAATACAAATGATACAAACTACAACAAACACAGTATGGAAATGGAGCAAAGTAAAAGGAGGCGAGTTGATGACGGCGTAGAGATACAACTATTCGTACATGATGGATGTCCGTGTTGTATCTGCAAAATTGAAGGCGTGATGGCGCTAGGGCTAGGCATGAACTTGTAATGCTCCGTTCTGTGCCTGTGCTGCTAGTGAGGTGTCGCTCAGACTCGAGAGAAATTTTTTTAAAAACTAGGCCCGACTGCGTCTCGACTTAGTTGTTCCTCAAATTTTTCAATTTGAAGTTTGATTCTTATTTTAATGTACACATATTTAAAGACCTACATCTACGGCTCGTATGTACCGTGTGGTACCTTGCAACTCGCGTGGCACGTTTTTTAAACGAGTCTCCCGTCAATTCGACCGGGCTTCAGCATCTAAGGGTTAAAGAAAATATCATTAAAATATGACTTCACCTTGTTCGCCAAAAACTCAGGATTACATACAAGGGCATTCTAAGCCCAAAAATTGTACAAAAAACACAATCAAAATGTTTTGGACACGGTGTGCCTACTTAGTCCGGAACGTCCTGGTTGTATTTTTTTTACCATTTTTAGCCATGTTCCAAGTGTTATTTCTTGTTATTTTGAATGAATGAATAAATAAATAAAATACCCATCAGCTTAAATGGTCAAGCAGAAAATCTGGAAACTAGGCGAAATCTCATGTCACACGTCCTACCGATTAGAGGGAACAACTCCGAGTATCTTTCAAAACTCCGATAAATTCAGCCAACTTGTTGGTCGGCCTTCATGCACAAGCGTACTGCATTCGATGTAAATGGGTCAGTTATACGCTGTTCTCAGAATCTTGTTTTGATGCTTGATTCTTGTAGATTAGCTAAAAGTAATAAGATCTCTCCAAACAGCAACTTCCTACGTTGAATTATAAAAATCGGTCTCTGGCGTCATCCACAGCGGTAGGGACACCCTTGGTTTCTTCCACCTTGTTTTCATCCAAGTTTCCCATTGAGTAACCAGCACAAATGTGTGTCTCACTGATTAATGAAAGCAAGGTGGAAGAAACCAAGGGTGTCACTACTGCGGTGGAAGACGCCAGAAACCGAAGTTTTCAAAGCGCGATAAGTCGGTTAATATTCAACGGAAAGTTGCTTTTTAGTCGGAACTTAATGTTTTTAGCTGATCTACGAGGATCAAGCATCAGAATATGATTCTGCGGCTATCGTACCAGATTTTTGATGAAAATCCCGAACGTTCACTGGAGGGGAAAAAAAGGGGAAAAAAAACAAACAAAAAAAACACATTGGATCTACAGTCCAGACTCTTGAAAACATCGACAAGAAAATGGACTCTTGATTCAATCAGATTTAAGCTTAAATCAAAAGGAAATCCGCTCAAATTAAGAGGCTTGGTTCCTGATTTAAGCTTAAATCTGATTGAATCCAGAGTATTTTTTCTTGTCGATGTTTCTAAGAGTCTGGACTCTAGATCCAATGTGGTTTTTTTTTTCCGGTGTTGCACCTTTGCCATGAGACGAATGATTGATTTCGATGGTATTTCTGTTTCAGAGTCAAGTACAAGCATTGGTGCATCGTGGATGAAGAGTGTCGAAATCTATCGTCGGAACTAATCGTCCGGAAGCGACCCAGTAGCCTGGATCCTCTCGGTCTTGGTGCCGCCTCCTCGGAGGCAGCCAAGAGGCAGCACTTCCCATTCCAAGGTTCCTGCATCGTCGACTGCCCGCCGCGCTACGAGCGGATAGACAGGAAGGAAGGAGCCACGTGCGAACCCTGCCCTCGAGACAAAATCTACTGTAACCAATGCAAAGGCGGCAAGATCAGGAGTATCGCAGAGGCGGAGGCGCTGAAAGGCTGCATCTACATCAACGACTCGCTCGAGATCGAGATCTCCAACGAGCGGAACAACTCGGCCATCCAGGACATCCTGACCGCGTACCTGGGCGACATCGAGGAGATCGAGAACCACCTCAAGGTCAGTCGATCCCTCGCCCTCCAGTCGCTGAACTTCCTGCGGAATCTCACCATCATCCACGGGAAACCGAAGGAGATGTCCAACCGGATCCAGGACAACTCCAGCCACCCGTCCTTCATAGTTACCGAGAACCAGAACCTCCAGGAGCTGTGGGACTGGGATCAGAAGCCGGACGGAAGGAAGTTCGAGATACGACAGGGCACGCTCTCCTTCCACGACAACCCGAAGCTCTGCATATCGACCATCAAGGACTTCGCGCTGATCGCCAACATGTCCACGGCGAACCAGTCGGAGGTGTCGACTTTCTCGAACGGGGAGAAGGCTCCGTGCCACAGCACGAACATCAACGCGACGGTCGTGAAGACGGCTTCCGACACCGTTATTATCGACATCAGCCGTCCCAAAAGCAAAGAGACCTCGAGTTTATCCCTCCGCTATGTTGTTTATTACTCGGAAGTCAAGGATCAAAACCTAACGGCGCACGAAGGGCCGGATGAGTGCGGTTCCAATTCGTGGAGGATAAGCGAGACGATCGTATCGGCGAACGAAACGGAGGCCTTGATGGCCAACGATGCCTCCGTTCCGGAGAAACAGACGCACATCCTCGGGCATCTGGAACCGGACACCCTGTACGCGTTCTACGTTCGAACGATTAACTTCAGCGGTTTAAGTACCGTACATTACGTTCGAACGACACCAGCGAGGCCCTCGTTACCGCAGGACGTCAAAGCTCACTCCAACTCGAGCTCCCAGATCGTTCTTTCGTGGAGACCCCCTCGCCATCCTAACGGTAACCTAACGCATTACGTTCTGAAAGGCTACTTGCGGGAGTACAACCAGAGCTACCTCGATAAACGTAACTATTGTCAGCGGAAGTTACTGCGAATAGCCCCGAACAATGCCACCTTCCCTCCCGATTTCATCACTGGCGCAGCCGAATCTGATAAATGTCGCAAGTCTTACAAGTGCAAAGACTTGGAGTATAGTAAAACCATCAACTGGGAGTTGGAGGACATAAAACATTATCAGTGTGATAATTATATGCTCAAATGGCTCGAGTTGGCTCATTTAATGCACGATAGCGCACCAGATTTCCCGGCCAGTAGCGCGTCTGTTGATGCGCCGGAAAATTTCAATTTTCAGGATGAAAGGACAAGCTTCTATCATAATGTCTCAAAGGACATGACACTATTTTCGATCGACAATTTGATGCACTTTAGCGAGTACGTCATCCTGGTTTCAGCGTGTCGAGAAAGCTATCCTAACGAGACCACTGCGCATTGCAGCTATGATGTCTTTATCACAGCGAAAACGTTAAGTCTCAGGGAAGCAGATGATATTAATCTGGACTCAATTAATTCTACTGTGATCAACAACGAAACCGTTCTCATCAGGTTTGATGAACCCTACGAACCAAACGGTGTGATTCTCAGTTATGAAATCGAGTATTATCGAGAACCAGATAGTGAGGGAAAGTCACGTAAGTGTATCACGCGCTCAGAATTTTTAGATATGAATAGGAGCTTGGAACTGAGCGTTGGGCCGGGTCTCTATAGTTATCGAATTGTCGCGACGTCCTTGGCAGGTCCAGGTAACCCGTCAATCCCCAAATCATTCGAGATTAAAGACAGAGAAGGAAGTAGTTATACGACACTCTTCATGCTCTTTACGATCCTCATATCTGGAGTGCTCATTGCCTGTCTTTTCGGTTACTTTTACTTGAAGAAAAAAGCAATGGAAGCCAACATGAAACTTTATGCCTCTGTGAATCCTGACTACTTCCGGATGCCGTACGTTGTTGACGAATGGGAAGTTCCTCGGAGGGATGTTACCATCGTGAAAGAGCTCGGGGAAGGGACCTTCGGGACGGTGTTCGAGGGTCTACTGTATCCTGACAAGAAGAAATGCGCTGTCAAAACGGTGCAAAAGAACAAAGAGCACGATGTCAACGAGTTCTTGAACGAAGCATCAGTCATGAAAGCTTTCAGCAACGCTTATCACATCGTGAAACTCCTCGGAGTGGTCTCCATCGATAGGCCACCCCTGGCAATCATGGAACTGATGGCTTTGGGTGATCTAAAATCCTTCTTGAGGGGTTCGCGGGAACAGCCGGAATTTTTGCCAGATACGAAGCGGATCTACAAAATGGCGGCTCAGATAGCCGATGGAATGGCCTACCTGGAGGCGAGGAAGTTCGTTCATCGTGACTTAGCCGCGAGGAATTGTATGGTGGCCGAAGACATGACGGTGAAAATCGGCGACTTCGGGATGACTCGAGATGTTTATGAGACTGATTACTACAAGAAAGGGGACAAAGGCTTGTTGCCCATCCGATGGATGGCCCCGGAAAGTTTAGGTGACGGTATTTTCACGTCTTCCTCTGACTCGTGGAGCTACGGCGTCGTTCTGTGGGAAATAGCCACTCTAGCCGAGCAACCATATCAAGGACTCGCCAACGAGCAGGTGTTGCAATACGTGTTGAGCAAGCAAATCTTAGATACTCCCACTGATTTTCCAGAAGCGTTGAAACCGCTCATGAACCAGTGTTGGAGCTGGAGGCCCCCACAACGCCCGAGCTTCATGGCCATTTTAGATATTCTGGACCCGGTCACAGATGAAGATTTTAGGTCGGTGTCCTTTTACCATTCGGAAGAGGGTCGCGAGTTGCGGAAAAACCTCAAACATAGGTCACAGGAGAAAGCTTCGAAAGATCAAGCGCAAGTCCTGGCATTCATGTCCTCGTCGTCGGAGAAATTCTACTCTCCGAAACAACTCGCCAACACGCTGGGTCTTTTCAAGTCAAGATCTCATTCTAAAAGTAAAACCTCCCTAGGGGGCTCAGCGTCATCGTATGTTTTGACTGATGCGTATGTTCCTTTAAAACAATTTCCTGACTATCCCGGAGACGATCCTGTGGATGATCAACCTAGCACGAGTATGTCTCATCCTACCCTCAATGGTCACCTGCCTTCCACGAGTCGAAGCTAGTTTTTATTTATTCCCTCCTTTTATTAGTTGTAAGTTTGAATTACCTCATTCAGTTTTTTTTATGAAACTTTTTATTTTCAAACGGACTGCTTTACTTTATTCCTCCCTTTCTCTCTTTTTCTATCCTCTCTCTCTACTTTTCCCTTTTACTCTCTTTTGACATCGAAGTGAAGATGTATGCCTTTACATATATTCTATATATTCTGTATAATAGTTTATTTTTCATAAAGATGTTAAGTCCAACACGGAGTCTACCCCTTCAACCTCTCACAGTAGATATACTTGCCTGTTTCTTCAATAAAAATGTTACAATGCTTTAAAATGTTCACCGGTCTATAGTATAACTGATGTCCATTGTTTGCAGCATCAAATATTCTCAACAAAGAAGTGATGCATGTATTGGGACACTGTATTTTCCAGTTGTTTTTCTCCTTTGTTGGTTCAATTCCTTCTCTGCTCTTCTAGGGCACTGCTCTCTCAGTAATTGAAGTTATTTTTGGTACTATTTTCGTTAAGAATAGATCTGAATTTGTGTAAATATTTACCAAATTTAGAACTATCACCTCTCCAGTTTGATTTTTCTTGGACAATCGTGTAAAATATTTCCCCGGTTCAGTTGTCATGTAATAAAATTGTATTTGCTAGTCATATTTCCGTTCAACCACTTCAGAGTCGTGTGAACCTTCATGATATCAATTTAACAAAATGATTTGTTTTTTCCTGTGTAAATAGTTTTTCATCGAATTTTTTTCACTTTTTTGTAATAATTTCTTTTTTTTTTATTTCAATTGTAAGAAAAATGTACAAATTGTACTTTCATCATTTTAAAGTATAACTTAACGTCTTTAACCAATGTGTTGATGTTTAATGTTATGATCAATAGTTACCAATGTTTCTGTTTTAAGTGAGTAGTTATTTATTTCAAATTGTTTTTCCTTCTGAAGGTCACATGATCCTTTTTTTTTTGTTTAATTGATACTGTTATATAGCTTGTAGTGTTTCTAAGTGGTCGGACATTTTTTAGGGCAAACACGGCCTGTACCATGATTGTTTTTTTTTTATTTTATTTTTTAATTCAACTTTTTTCATTATTTATTTCATTTTATGAGACAGTAAAAATGCTTGTCTCAGCGTCCTTGCTTTAAATAGAGTATCTCGACGGACTAGATTTTTTATTCAACAGTCTTCACAGAGAAAATGGCTGAACAATTATTACATATATTTAATTTTTCTCTTAAGACTAACTAGCAAAGACTCCAACGTCTCTGGAGTTCAAAAATAGCATGTTCCGGAAACAAAAACCAAAAATGAATTGTTAAAATTCATATTAGCACAGAACTCTGCACCACCGTGATCTTTGGGTTCCTCATCATTAAAAATGTCTGTTGCACAAGAATTTTGGCTAAATCAGAAGCGCACTGACTTTCCCTTGAGTAACCAATGTCCTGAAGTATGCACCTTAAGTTTACATCCCTGATATGAAAAGGATTGAGCAAATTTCCTAAATTGTTGATTTTGATGGAAATAAAATGGTGAAACATGATATCTCCAGTATCAGAATTATAACTTACTATTTTAAATCTTGGAGTGCTTTTTCAGAACTTAACTTGTAAGTTGCAACCTTTACACTTAGTTTATTGCTCACAGTCACTAACAAAACAATCTTAGCACATTTATCTCCACTTCCATCTCAATCAAATTTCCAAAACATATGCAAACCTGCAAACAAAACTAATGAGATCACAATTCCGCAAACGATTAGGTATCTGAAAGGCATTGTCAGTGGGTACCAAATTTTTTTGTATCACTACCATCCTAAGTATTTCCAGCTTTTAGATTTTGACTTTTCTCCAAACTTTTTTCTGCACCTGACTGATGAACTAGGAAACTATTTGTCTTGTCCTACTTTTGTTTTTCCTTTCAAGACTAAGTTGACATTTTTGAGAATGAAATACCTTTCATATAAATCAAAGAAATCACTGAAAGCCTTCAAGAAATAATGTTGATTGGTTTTTCAATTAAATTATGACGTATCAAAGGATATCATCGATGGTGTGAATTGAGATACATGATTTCTGAGTTTATCCATCAATATGTCTTTTTGTCCCATGTTTTTTCTCAAAGTTTTTCTTAACTCGGCACTTATCCATGACAGTAGCCTCGATTGCTGATTATGAATTTAACCCCATCTTCATTATGCTCTGAATGTCCTTTGTGATTTTTCCATATTTTATTAGGACCTAATTACGTTATTCAAAGGATAAGTACCTAAGAAGGCATGAATTAATAAACAGTGCCATGGATAATTTTGATTGGTAAAGTCATTTATTTAAGTTAAGAAATTCTGGCCAGAGACTTATGCTTTGTAAGTGCTGAAGAATGTCAAAACATACAAGAACTTCCAATTGAAGATATTTTAACTTTTTAAACAGTGTATACGTAGGTTCTCATTCCACCATCCCCTTCTCCCATCAAAAATAAGTATCATTTTGTAAATATTGTTCAAGATTTTTTTTTAGCTGGACCAAATTTTTTGTATTTTTGTACAAAATTACCCATACTTTTCATCAGTAGATAGATAGTGTTTATTTTAGTGCCTGTTTTCCTTGTGTATCCATTATTAAAAACCCACTGATTCTCCTTTTATACTCATCAGTTTCATATTTTTTAATTAAGTTGATCTTTTCTGGTATCTGTAGAAAGGAGCATTTGCTCGTCCAATATGTTTATTTAAATTTTTGTTTTTATCCCTGATTCATAAAGCTGTATCATCACATCATACTGTTTACAAAACAGTGTTTAATATTTCCTCATTTTATCGGCTTTTTGTGCATAGGCAGACAGTTGCTCAAGGAAGTCACCAAAATAAAAGATAATTAATTCTTGATTCCCAAAAATTTTGCATTTTCCTCATGGCCTGAAGAGAAATATAAAGCACCATACTTGGACCATGTTAAACAGAAAGGAACCAAGTCACATCAGCTATTGCCAAATTTAATTGGCTAATTTAATTTTTTACATGAAAACAGTCATGCGGATTTTCGTGCAAATTTCAGTGAATTTTCTCCATATTACGAAGCAAATTCCTTAACATTTTTAAAGAGATCTGCACAAACGTTTTCTCGTAAAAAATTAAAGTGCCCAGTTAAAATTGGCAATAACTGATATGGCTTGGATCCTTTCTATTAAACGCTGTCCAATTCACCCTCCAAATCAGCTGTACAAGTTAAATCTCGGCTCAGCTGAAAGAATAAAAATGGAAAATAAAATTTATACTCATCTCTCTCATTTTAAAACAAAATCTTCCATTTTTTCTCCCGTTCTGTTAGACCATGTTCTTTATTTATTTTGACCATTTATACGGAACCTATCACAAAAATGTATGAGGGCGCTTTTTTTTATTCTGCTGATACACTTTTTAATCATTGAAATGAGGTCAATTATCTGTACTATAACCACTGTATTTGTTCTTGTAATGATGTTTGATTAATGATCTAAAGTGTAACTTTAACTTCATGTTCATTCTACTTCCTCTGGGTTTTACAGACAGGTTGCTGTGTAGATAGAATCTCTTGGATTATATTCTTCATCATCATTTTTTCAAATCAATATCTCAAAGAGAAGGATTCACTAGATGTTTATGTTTCCTTGATTTTTTCAAAATATACCTTGGTTCGTTTATCATCATAATTTGCTGTGATCACAGTTATCCATGGAATCTAATTTCTATGGCATTGTAAATATTGTTTAAGCATATTTCCTTTTGTAAATCAATTTAAAAGAGCTTGAAAGTTAAAAATTTATAGAATTATGGTTTGTTCAGGTTATGGTAATCTTTAGTGTTGGATGTTTCTCTTTTTTTCCGGCCCCATTTAATAATTTCTTTCTTGTTCAACTAAGAGATATTTTTAATCCCGCAGTTTCCTCTAAAGGGACCCACTTTGCAACACAGCATTATTGCAACATTTACATTTTTTGTATTTTATCTGAATTATGAGTTGCCTTGACATTGATATTAGCATGAACTTTGACTCTTTTCAGAATATTTTGCCGTTTCCTTGCTGATAAAGTCTCTACAGGGTGACAAGTCCTTGTAAAGTCAAGGAAAACCTAAAAAATTCAGTAAATAAATTTATTTTTCTCACTGAGATAAGTCAGGAAATTTTGCTTCTGAACCTCTAATTTACTCTCACCATCAAAATATCTGAACAATTAGGTACACTCAAGCATTCTATTAGAAGAGCTCACATTTTGCACTGAATGTGTCTTGTGAAAAGCATTTTCATACCCAAGATCCTTACAAAGTCCGGAAATTTCAAAATTTGATGAAACTTGTCACCCTTTCTCCGTCAACCGGTCCATTTTTCAATATTTCTCGTCCTGTTTTTTCACGGATAGTAAGTACCTGTTAATATTCTCCCCTATGTCCCAAAATTATCATTGGGAAATTCCTGTTCAATAATGTTGCAGCAATGCTCTTTGCAATAGAACTGACCCCTCTCACTAGCATTTTAAGGCCATAGTTTGTTTTTTTTTTGCATTTTATAAGCTCTAATAATGGTAAAAAGTGTTGCATCCATTAGATTTCAATATTACTTCAAATAAGAGCTCTATAAATAATTAAGTTTTTTTGCGCTCAATACATATTCTATTATCTCATCACCACAATCACCTGTAAGTTCAAACAAAACCAATCTATTTCTCTATCCCCCTATGCAGAGAAAAATTAACTTTCCTTTTATCAGATTGGTCACTGATGTAACTTTGTTACACTCTGCTTTCGAGTGCCTACCTTTTCCTGAATGTAGGGAGCGGAAGTCCCAAATGGACGCGTTTATGCTGAAAGTAACTATATTGCATGTAAACCACATGCACATAGTTCCTTTTGGCATATATACATCCAAATAGCATAATCTACTAAGTACGAATGACTTAGAATCAGTAATAAGTAATTTATAAATATGCATTGTGATGAGGTCCTAAAGTTAACCACCAGGGCCTGTTCATTGCCCATAACTTTGACCATCACAAATTTGCCAATTTAATTTATACCATCATAACATGGGAGATTGGTGTTGCCGTAATTTATTCCCACCGATTCATCAAGGTCACTATCAATCTTAAAGAGTAAAGCAAGTTCCTTAGGAAGGAAGAAAAAAAATTCAAATATTGTTCTACTCTTGGATGAGTTTTTAAGGGTTGTCTTATTCCCTGTCCAAAACCAAAGATTACTGAATGCCTTTTTGCATGTGTATGTGACAAATGCAACTTTTCTAATATAGGTAGGTATCGAAAATTTGGATTTGTTGAAGAGTCTCCTATTTACTTTTATTATAGCTTTCAAACTTTGCTTATTTTCATCGCCCTTAAATTGAAAATGTTCTTTTTCATGAGAGTTATACATTACCAACGTAAAACCTCCATCGTCAATCCTCTTCAAAAATTGATGACTACTTTGGTATGTAGTTCTTTATATTTGGTAACCTAAGTTCAAACAAATGAAAAAACAAAGTTAAAATTTGAAAATAACTTTATTCCATTTTGTAGTTGAATTTTATTTCTAACTATGTAAGTACCCTCTCCGAAGATCACCAACATTAAATGCATTTGATGATTTTGTAATAACGCTGATAGTCTGAAGATGTTTTCTGAGACTGTGTGTTACCTAGGTACACAAGGAATTTATCACCATTAAGATATTGTACGAATGCAGAAAGGGGGCAAGTGTCTGATAGAACTTTCTTTTACTGCTTACATATTAACAAATCTTTTTGAAGATAATTGCTTCGAAGAGGGAATTTTCAAAACAAGGAAGAGGTGAGCAAATGGAATGATTGCTGCAAAGGCCTAGTTTTCATTGTTAGCACATCTCATACCTGCCCAGCGGGGCGATTATTGAAATGACATCGACTCTATGTCGCCGCTTTGTCGTGTAACGCCGATGGCGCGACACGACAAAGCGGCGACAGAGTCGATATCATTTCAATAATCGTCCTGCTGAGTCCTACCAAGTCTAAGTAGATACCTTTATCCAGTTTTCAAGTTTTGATATTTGTAGTTTTAAGGTTTCAGTTTATCATTCCGTTCTTTGATATTGACATTTACCTATTTTATCTAGTTCCCACAAACAAGCGAATTCTTTATTGGAGCTGTCAGAATGGTTCTATTTCAGTGTCTTCAATGTTTTCAGGTCGAAAAAAAAAGAAAACGATCTGAGGTTGTAGGTAAGTTATTTTAGGTTCATGGAAAAATCACCTCACAATAGATTTTTATTTAAAATTGCGCCTCTTAAATGGTTAAAATCTGCGCAGAGCAATACAATGGAACTCTAAACATAATATTTTTTCTGCCATAAAGAACACTCACTTTCACCTGTATGTGAATTCAAAGACTAAGTATGCTATTAAATGTTTTAATCAAACAACTTGTGTACCTTCAAATATTGTACCTAATTAAGTGTTACTTTCTTCTCTCAATGTTATCATCTTGTTATATTCCTCTGTACCAAGTACTAATCTCCAGAAAATAATTAAATATTCAGTACTAAGACCACATATTTCTAGATTTTTCTTTCTACGCACAATGGAAGCAAAATTTTCCTTGAGGCAGGAAAACCCAAAGTGTATCAATAGAATTGCTTAAATTTCTTAAGTCGACAACTTAATTTCTGTAACCTGAACCTGAAATCTGCCTTCCCTCTCTATCACATCAATGTGTAAATTAAGAAGTTGAAAATGTTTTATGGCTCTTCATTTACTGCGTCATCATGAAGCATTTAAGTAAAGTCCATATTTTATTACCCAAAAACATCATTGTTGAACTCGTCCAAATGTATGTCTAACCAGAGATGACAAGGCCATCAATATTTTAAAGTTCATGTATGCCTCCGAAAGTTTGTGTAATTGTAACATATTTGAATGAGAATAAATTATACCCGACTGGTGTGTAATCAAGCTATTTTTTGTACATATCCTGACTGTTTTTATGTATAAAAATGTACAAATCTTTTTAATTTTTGAAACTCAATTTTCTGTAAATTTGTTGTTTAAATCCAAAAGAAGAATAAATTGCTGTTATTGCCTAAACTTTTCTACTTGTATTTTCTGTGAAACCTCCTTCCTGGTACTTAATATCTACACAAAAACATCATATCATGAATAATTCATGATGATTTAAAAAAATTCCTTTTAGTACTTTTCATCGCTAGTTTTAACTTTAATTTATTGCATTGAGACCAAAACGAACTATGTTGCATGTAAGATCAATGCCTATAGTTCTTCAATGTATATAGTGTATAGTTCAATGCCTTTTAGCATAAACAAATCCAAATGTAATGGACATGCTGTCGGTGAGTTTGAGGAAAAATTTCTGGAAATTTGCAAGTTCCCAAAAAATGTATCAGCATACCCGTTCATCAAGTATTAGATTCACGGAAACCACAGACTTTGTGTGGATAGTTAGGTACCTTATTTCAAACCTCTCTTCTGTACCCGTTTGAAAGGGTCACAGAATAGGTGAAGAAAGGACAATCAAGCCTTGGTCAATACAAACTACTCAGTGTAAAGGCATATTTATCAAAATTATTTGGCTCAAACTTAATTTTCAATTCTACCATTGGCAAGCAACATCATTTCAGTCCCTGAGTTTCTTCATTCTTGTCTTGGTTTAGCTGAAGTATCTGAATTTTGGCTATGACTAACAACGATCTTAGCACTAATTTAGTAACAGATAAAAACTGGGCAAAGAGAACTAAAAAATGAGCTGTGGTAACTTAAAGCCATATCCTCTCCCTCAAAAATGAAAATAGCTCCTTCAGCAGTCTGGAGGCACGGACAGATTTGAGGAGAGCTATAGATAGGGGCTTGAGCCATAGGCGCTAAATCCAGTGAACTCATAATTTACAAATGCAAAACGAGACAGCTTATTTCATGTGTAATGAATTTTCCCCCCTCTTTTCTTTTCTATTCTCCGACTGGCTTATTACCGAAGGGTAATTATATACAAAATTGAAAATAAAGAAAAAAAGTAATAATTCAATTTTAATTATATTTGGCAGATTTTTATCAGCTATGAGCAGCAAAATTGCAAAAGCCTTGAACTTAGGCATCAGTAAAAGGATCGAATGTCTGAGTGAATTTTTACACATTTTATTTTGTGGTCTGAACGCACCTTCAAATGTGCGGGCAGTACCTCTTTAAGCCTTGAATAATTCAAATGAATATGACGTAAGCGTAATTAAAGTACCAAGTAGCCTACAAAATGATTGCCTTGCACGATATTTTATTTTCCTATGGTTATCAGATCACCTCTCTACAGGTACAAGCAATCGCTTTTATATTAGAAATATTTTATTCACCCAAGGAAATTAATTTTTTTGGAAATTTTGATTTTTCTATGCTTGAATCCTATTCAATGAAGAGAGGGGAAAAAATGTACCTAGGAAGTATGGAAGTTATATGGAGCCACAGTATTGAAGCCTTTGATGTAATTTTTCTGGAAACTTTATTGACAAAGGCGACATGTACATAATACATATATCAAAAGGCAAATGGTATGGTCTTCAGATGGTAGGTATATATCGCTGGTGAAACTGCAGAAATGCGTACCTACTTATATCACGGTTTGCGGTGTTGCAAACTTCCTGTTATACTTCATTTTCTACAAAAAAACTACTAAATCTCATTTCTTGATAACTGTGGTGATTTTTCTTCTCAATATTACGAATAACTCGTCAAAATTACCATGCATGATTACTGTTCGGTCTCCGTTAAATAATAAAATAGGGAGATTTTGAAACATTGCATTCTAGGTACGCATTTTTGCAGTTTCGCCGTCGATAAGTGGGTATTGAATTATTGATTGGGGTCAATGACCGCGCTCGATCTTTGTTTTGATTTTGACCGTCATCAAGGCAACGTCACAACGACCCCATTTGACTGTTATTGGTATGACGTCATCAGATGAATCACACCCAACGCCTGGGCATTGCTTTCCTTTTTTTTTCTTTTCCAAGCCGGAAGGGTTCAAAAGAGATTGTGTGCTTCAGAAGTTCAATTTGATTTATAAGTTCAATTTTCATCGGAAGTTTCCTGCTAAACGTGCTCCGTAGTGTTTAGCAGGTGCTGTCTTTGTAGCGAGTGCGCGGCTGTCAAGGGCCAAGTGAGCGATTCGGTGAAATCGCTTCAGCAGTAACCGACCAACTGAGTGGATTGGAGTAGGGTGGACCGCTCAATTTCATTTGTCGTGAGAGTTGTTATCTCCACGGTCCAGGTGCTTTCTCTTGGTTCAGCGATTCGCGAAAAATTGACGTTTGCAAGTGCGTCACGGTCGTGAAAGCAACAGTTTTAACACAACCATGGTCGAGAAAAAATTAGAGTCCAAGATGGCAGCCGTTGATGTAGCTAAAGCTGTAAGTACCTGAAAGTTTAACTGTTTACCCCACACAACTCGATGGAAACTCCTTTTCCTCGAAAACTGCGTTTCTTAGCACTGAAAAGAATCTCACAAACTTTCGGTTTGGGAAGCTTACATCTGCTTCCATCGGAATTCGAGGTTATGTAAACACAGGTGTAACTGTCGCACTGTGAATGTACATTTTCTGACCGCAGATTCAACTCTGAAGAATATTGTAAATGTTCTGCTAAAACCTTTACAAGAAAGAGGCCAGCCTGGGCTCTTTAGTTTTGCCTTGATTTATGGCCACGTTAATCAAGGGAATACCTTCAGAGCATTCTTTCCACCTTATAGTTGCAACCGCTCTTTTTAACTAGCATTCGTTCACAATTAATTTTTCAACACATGGCTTTCTCCTACATATCATTGAGAAACTACACTGCAAAAATTTTAACCCACAATGCTGCTCTGCAGCCTGATTGTTAAAACTTTGTGTTTGCCGGGTAGACATTTATGACATAGGTTAAAAGGCGGAGCATGATTGGTCGACCATGTCTTTTCGCTATGTCAACAGAGCTTTGTCAGGTGGAATGGATGACATACTGTCGGAAACATAAGAGGTGCTGTTAGCTTGTCGTGAGTGCCACTCGACATAGGCACGACGAAGCAGCCATAAGACATAGCGGACAAATTATGCTCCGCCTTTTAACCTAAGTCATCTTTGTCTACCCGACAAAAACAAAATTTCAACAATCAGGCTGCTGATTCAAAAACACTATTCAACAGCTGTCAGTAATCTAGTTGAAGGCGATCATTTGCAAATGTACACTTAAGTAGCTAAGTACTGAAAGTTCTTTAAATTAAAGTGCTTTAATACAATTTGCAACTCAATGCAGTTTGTAATTGTTGATTGCATTATTTTGGCATTTTCCAAGATTTCAGGTATCAATGTCAAAGATACTAGTGAAATTTAGTGAATGGATTTGGAAATTAGGTAATTAATGAAAATAACATCTCACCCTTGAGAATGTATTAATCTACGATGTAACTCTTTTGTTTAAACAGGCTGAGAATCTGCGAAACCTGAAACTCTCAGGCCATGTTGGATTCGATAGTTTACCGGACCAGTTGGTGAACAAATCCGTTCAACAAGGTTTCATTTTCAACATCCTCTGTATTGGTACGTAATCCATAGAAATGATAGCAATGCATAACAATCATTGGTAAACCAGTTCAGCATGATATGCTAAGAAGAGATAAAATGATTCAATAGAATAAATTGTGAACTTGAATTTTTGACAAGACTCATTTTGGCACATTGCTAATATCACTGAATTAGTCATTGATAAAAGAGCACAACAGAATCAGTCTCTAATTGCTCTTACAAACAAAAAAGATGATCAGAAATTTTCTAGAAAAGACAGTGATAATAATGTAGAGCACCTTTGAGTTTGAAATTTGCACCTCTTAAAGTGCTAAAGGCACTTTCACAGTATTGAAAATAGTACGACGGTGTAAGTCCACAACCGTGTATCTCAGTTTGCAACGTCGTAGACTTCCTGTCATCCTTTATTTTTTTAAATGAAAACCTACTCTACGGCAATTCTTAAAAACTGCCGTGATTATTTTTCTCCGTTTCAAGAAAATTCTGCAAAAACTTCAAGGAATAATGTCGATTTGTTCTACTTAAAAAAAAAAAAAAATATGATTGGAAATTTTCAAACACCACAAACAAGGTACGTCGTTGCGGACTTACATTGAGTAGTGTTTCTTTTACTGTTAAATATTTTTAATTATATTTTTTGTACTACGGTAATGCTTTACTGCAGTCACAGATAAATTGATCTAATATGTTTTTTAAAGGTGTCCTATGTGCTAATGTTGGACCTAAAAACATTGTGTTCAGCATTTTTTACAAATCTTAAAGCTACACCATCCATTGAAAATTCTGTCACATATAAATGACCCATCCTATTTCATGTAGTATGCAGCAAAATGTTATTTTTTTCCTCATATTTACTTATTGTACATTTCAGGTGAAACTGGACTTGGAAAATCCACTCTGGTGGATTCTCTGTTTAACACCAACTTCGACTCTTCTCCAGCACCACACACCTTACCCAGTGTTAAATTGAAGTCTCACACATATGAACTACAAGAAAGCAGCGTCCGACTCAAGGTGAGATTCTTGATATCTATCATGAAAGTAAAGGTACTTGCAAGCGTAACCTGTTGCTTTCGACAGTGAGGCAAGAACATATCCAAGATTGTTTTTGGAAAAAGGAACATCGGACGATTTTGACATCAACTTGGTAGTAAAACAGGAATCAAGACAACCTGTGGGAAAATACTCTTTGAATATGTTTTTTATTACTCTCCCGAACTCTTGGAGAAACATTTTTCAAAATGTTGTTCAAACACTAAGTTTTTTATATGTACAAGTTAACTCACCTACACAATAAGTGAATCTCTCAGTTCGAAAATGACCTATCTCGGAAAAATGAAAGTTTTCAGGAGACGATAAATACCACATCAGCTGAAAAAGAGGTGTTTCTGCGCAAAAAAAATGAACATTGTAAAAAACCAGAGGTGGCTCGTTTTTGAACTGACAGTTGTGAGAGGTTCAATTAGAGTTATTAGGGACCCAACGCAATTTACAAGGAGCCTTAAGATGGCTTTCTTATGGTTAAACGTTGTCTAATGTACCCACTGTGCCGTGATCCGATTGGTAACTGAATACTTCACGTTAGCTATGTTTTTTATTTGATTAATTTCTTTCTCTTAGGTAGGACAGTTAATTAATAACATGAGGAAATAATAAATTTTCCTGCAGATTTATGCACCGGCTTCAATCCAAACTTTTACTGAAGATCCAATTGTTGATTTTCAAAGCATGTTTTTTTTTCTTTTTTCTTTCAATAGCTGACCATTGTTGATACTGTTGGGTACGGTGACCAAATTAACAAAGAAGACAGCTTTAAATCCATTGTGGACTACATTGATGCCCAGTTTGAGGCGTACCTGCAAGAGGAATTAAAAATCAAACGATCCCTTTCAATGTACCATGACACAAGAACTCATGTGTGCCTCTACTTCATCTGTCCCACAGGTCATGGGTAAGTTCTGTTAAATTTCAGAAAAACAAATTCCGTTAAAAATTAAAGCTCTCTTTCATCCATTCACACAACACATTTTTATACTCTAGAGCAATGTCATCGTACGATAGGACAAAAGTCAAACTTTGTGTACATCTACAGTCGCATTTTTTCTGTGGCCATCAGAGTGATGATCTATTATGCGGTACTGATGACCGCCCATCATGAGAAGTTTGAATAATTGACCAATAGCAGGTCATTGCTCAAATTTCCATTTGTTGCCAAGTCGGACCACTTCAATCGGCGTAAGCTAACCAAAGCGCTCCCACCAGCCATGACTCGACCATCAGATACTCAAGAGTGTTAATAATCATCATGCAACTGTAGAAATGGTAACCACATTGTACTGTGTAATAGCCAACCTAAAAATGCCTGCACCCCCTTTCTGATGGCATGAGTCAAACATAATTCAAAACATCGTACTCTGATAGCCCGATATGGCAAAAAACAAAATACAGCTAATTGTATAAAAAAATTCCATGTGTCAACCGTTGCGAGGTCATTACAAACTAATCAAAGATAATAGTTTGTCTTGTCATGAAACTCTTTTCTCTTCTCTTCAGACTCGCTCAGGTGTGTGTCTTGAACGGAGTAATATTTTTGAAAGATGACAGGCAGATGCCTAGAATTTTTTGAAGGATTTGTAAACTCAATGATAGTGATTGTAACTCATTGCACTTTACTTTTGTAAGTGTTCAGTGCAAGGGTCAATAAGGACGCAGTTCCACTATCCATAGGATCTCCTAAACATAGTAGATACATAGATTAATTACCAAACAGAAAGGTAACTGATGGTTCCTTTTATAGTCACTATTTTTAAGCAAGTTGGAACCATTTAAGCAGGAAATTGGAAAAAGATAGTAAAGAAGGGACCACTGGACAAAAGTGGGGAAGGCATGAAACTGTGTTGGGAGGATAATTTGGAATCCTAGGCCAAGATAGGGCGGCGGGTATTTCAAGAATTGAGACAGAAATGGCCAACTTTTGCCCCTCTGGTACTTATTATTCTATGGCAACCTCCTTTAAATCAGGACATTACATCAATTTTAGCAGCTGACAATTATAATTGAAGTATTCATTTCCTTCGCAAATTTCAGTGCTTTCATTGTGATACAGTGATTTAGTTAGCGAAATCTACCATAATTTGGCACCCTAAAACACCATGCCCTTACTTAAGTAGGTCTGTGATATGGATCCTCTTCCAACAGAAAAGAGATAGACATTATCTGAGCTTTATAGAGAAAGGTACATCGCACCTCATCTTTACTTGATATTTTTTTTTAATTATTACAAAGAGATTCTCTAATATTTTCTTGTCTTTTTTCATTCTTTAGATTGAAGTCAATTGACCTTGTTTGTATGAAACAGCTGGATACCAAAGTCAACATCATCCCAATAATAGCGAAAGCAGACACCATCTCCAAAACAGAATTGCAGAAATTCAAGGTAATGAAACTGCACTTATTTAGTTTTACTATAAATTTCGTCTTTAGTTGACCTTTCTCTCAAGTGGCATAAAAAATTAGTGATATTTTACAAGAATGGGTGGGTTTCATAGAAAATGGTTCTACAAGCCCCAACAACTTTAAATTTGAAAGTTGATGAAAACCCTTAAAAATTTCACAGTATCAAAATTTCTTAGGGTCAGAAGCCTAAAAAAGTTGAAATGGAAAACTATCAAAGCAAATTACATGAATATCTCTAAAATTAGGAACTACTTAATTACAAACGTTACATATTGTACTAACTTACAATGGGCCTGTTGCAAACTTTTGGCAGAGCAAAAATAAGATTTGCTACGTATAGAAAGTGTCTCAAAAATCACGATGAGCGCATCGGCAAAGTCTGAAATGCACTCCTTACTTCACAATTTGTGCTTTTTTGAGCTACTCGCTTCCAAAACAATACCACAGCACAGGTCAACATTTCGTTAAAGGAGTCATTCTATCCAATCCCTCCTCACAAGGATACTAGGCAATATTCAACATAGTCGATACCAATCTGCCGAAACACGTGTGATGGGATAATGATTCTAACCACCTGATAACAATCGGCGTGTATGCATTCACATTTTTCTTGCGTTGTTAGATATCCCCCTTGATTGACCTTGTGCTCTCCTCAACTTGTGGGCGGAAGCATCGGCCATGTTGAGCAGGGATTGAATGAAACAACTCTAACGAAATATTCACCTGTGCTGTAGTATCCTGTTTGAAGCGGGAATCATGAAAAAATGCAGATTTCTTACGCAGATTGTGAAGTCAGGAGAGCATCTCAGAGTTTACCGATGTGCTCATCGTGATTTTTGAGACATTATCTGTAAGGAGCAACTCTTCATTTTTGCTCTCGCAAAAGTTTGCAACAGGCCCATTTTGTAATTTTTGGGTTTTGTATTCTGTGATTGCGAAGAGTCGCTTCCTCTTCCTCAGACAGGTAAACTGAAAAAAATATCATTCCAAAATATAATCGATAGTACCATGTGGCATAACATTTACTCTCTGTTGAAGACAAGTCCTGAAAAGACGTTTAGACGTAACAATTTGTTACTGAACGTTTGTACTGTTACTTTATACTGGCATTTTATTGTGTCGATCTTTCTTCGTTAATATTCACTATTCCTTCTTTTTTTAAAATAGTACACAGAAATTGCCTCTTTACGCCCATGCTCTTGAAAGGTTTTAGTAACGGAATCAACCAGAGTCAAGTCATTTCATATTTTGTGCCATTTTCTCCTCCAACCTCTCTACGAGCCTGTGAATTTCTTCACTCTTTTCTGTGGTGCAACTTAATGACACTTGTACATCTTACGTATCTTTCATCTTGAAAGTTGTAGTCAAATTGATACCAATGTACAAATCGGCTTTGCTTGGTGAACAAAAGATTTACAAGTGCCATGGATAACAGATCCTTGTTGATTGACTTCATTTCCTACCTTTCTTCAGATTTTAAATTCTCATTTTTGGTTTTGATTTTAGGCTAAAATCATTCAGGAGTTGAACGCAAATGGAGTTCGCCTGTACAAGTTCCCAACAGATGATGAGTCTGTATCTGAAGTAAACTCTCAGATGAATTCTCATGTGCCGTTTGCTGTTGTTGGTAGCAGCGATTTTGTCCGAGTTGGCAACAAGATGACACGAGCCAGACAATACCCATGGGGAACTGTCGAAGGTCTACTATTTCTTTATTCAAATGAACATTTTTTATTTTATATATATTTGAAATATTTATTTGTTTTACTTATTTATATTTTTTTAATTTGAAATTAAAAGTTTGATTTTGGCTGTAATTTATAAGAAATGCAGTTTTTGAACGCGGTATCAGCCATCGATTTTTTATGTATATATTTTCCCATACAACTGAGAATGCAGCAATATGAGTGACACGTCTGTAAATGGATTGCTCAAATTTTCTCCATTGGAGGCCTTCAGGTTGGCTTGCAAGTCGCGTTTGCAACCAGCTGCCAGAAGTAAAACTTAGTTTTTGGGTAGCTAACAGTAGAAGGCGTGAGCTGCACTGCTAGTGCGGTTCCTGCCGGAGTTCCGCATTCTGATTTGCACGGCATCTCAGAGCGTTCGGGCTTCAAATCAGGACTGGCTATCTATACACTCCTAATGATTGCTAACAAGAAACTGGTAGTAGTGCTAACACCACGCCTGATTGCGTTACCCACACCCAACTCTCCTCAATTGAGTTTCTCGGTCGTATGGGAAAATCTGTACATAAAAAATCAATGGCTGATACCTCGTTTAAAAACTACATTTTTTTTATGTTGTACACATCTATTTTTTTTTTTTATGATAGGTTAAGAATTGATTTGTCTAATTTATTAATTAAAAAAGAAGAAGAAAAAAAGAGGCACGAGCATACAACAATAATTCATGCTGACAAACAAACCGATGCAAATGGCCCTGTACTATTAGTAATCTTGTTAACTCGGAAAGAGAGATTCACAGAGAGAGAGAGAAAAAAGCCCCTCCAACTTCAAATTAACTTGAGGTCACTGTGGTGAGTTTGGAAGAGTCTAGTTTTACTAATTGCTTATTAGCAGTGGCTCTCACTGCACGCTAGCAGTTTATACTAGTAAAGTAATTGATCAGGCTATCGGAAAATGGAGCAATCTCATGAAGTGTGACTTAATTTAAAATCACTAGTATTTCAGTGACTCGTCAGTGAAGGGTATCATTCAGAGGCAGTAAACATGAAAATTGAGAAGTAGAAGGATAAGCTCCAACTGTTTATTTTAGACATAAATATTTCATTTAGTCCATGACAAATTACAGAGAGTATTCTCTTTTATTTTGAAGCTTAGGATGTAACTGTTTGTCATGCTACGTAGGAAATAAAATGCTTTATTCTTTTGTTTTCAGTTGAAAATGAAGCCCATTGCGACTTTAAGAAATTGCGTGAAATGCTAATCCGCACTAATATGGAGGACATGCGCGAAAAGACCCACACCCAACACTACGAGCTTTATCGCAAAAAGCGACTTGAACAGGTACCTTTTTCTCATTTTAGTTTGCAAGTGTTGATCAAATGCATCGAAAGTTCGAGAGTCAAAAAAAGAATTGCCTTCACAACCCAAGTCAGAAAATTAAAACCCACAGCATACTCCAGATGTCGAATCTTTCAAGGGAAACTTTTTTAGAATGTTGTATTCATAAAATTGGTGCTTTGAAATAATATCCAAGAAAATAATTTCCAAAATTTACAGCTGGACAACATAAGGAGAAATATTTTCCAAAAAATTAATTTCAAAAGTGTTGATAGAAGAAAGTCCTATGTTCGAAAGTGTTGACAGTCAATAAAGTGAGAAGAATGTCAGCACAAAAAGATGAGAAGTTAACTTTTGGTAACAAAAACGTTGTTTTAAATCAAAGTGATCCCCATAAGCAATAACCCTCCACAAGTCTTAGTAAGCAGTTAATGGCGTTACCATCTTCAACTACATTCTCCTTGCAGTGTAAACAGCTAACCAAGCCTGATAAATTGAAAACGCAATTTTCTGCGGTTTAGTTAGACATTATGGTAGCTCAGCAGCAAACTTCTTACATCATGGACGAGTATACAGAATGCAGCTCAAGTTACATCGTTTTCTCTACAGCCTTTTAGATGTTAAACAGCTTTTAAAATCTGGCTGGATCCTTCTTTGAATAACTATTTTTAGGGGCATTGAAATATGCCGACTTTGCCTTTTTCTCAAATAAAGCTAGGTTTGCCTATCGGATGAAAACTTATGTTTTTTGAAGATCTGAAAAGAACAAATTGCCTAGTAAGGCAATAAATGCAATCCCTTCTTTTTTTCTTTTTTTTTTAAGTACTTGCATTAAAATAAAAATATAAGTGTAATCAGAGGTCAGATCTGCAAGCTGATTCTATAAAACTGTTTAGACTGGACAACGTGAGTTTGGCTCTATATTTTGAATAGTTTAGCCAGGCTTTGTCTTGTCTACTTCAGCTCAAATTTTTGTTAAAAACTCGCAAATTTACCTCACTGATTTTAAGTGAGTGAAAAAAACACTTAAATAAGCCTTTTCCTAAGTTTTCTGCATTTGGTTGAAAAATCATTCCAATTCTACTTAATCACATGTAAACTCTGAAACGGTTTTTCTCTTGGATTTTCTCAACATAGGGAAGTCAAGTAAAAAACACTAAAATGAATGTTGAATGAAATGTTTGTTGAATTCCAATTGATATTTTTGTCTTATCACGCTCGCAGATGGGTTTCAGCGACGTAGACTCAGAGAATAAGCCTGTGAGTTTCCAGGAGTCTTTCCAAAACAAACGATCAAATCACTTGCAAGAGCTCCAAAAACAAGAAGATGAAATGCGCCAGCTCTTCATCGTCCGTGTCAAGGAAAAGGAGGCAGAGATCAAAGAAGCTGAAGCTGATGTAAGTATCTCTTTTCTGTAGTCTTATTGTGTCCCATCATTGTAAGTAATGATCAGGCTAGTATTCAGTTCAATCTTAGATTTTGCTAAATTTTGATGAAGTTTTTGACTTGGTGTGAAGAATAATCAAACCCAACATTGTGGAATTCTGGAAACTGAGCCGTTGGCTGGATGTGAGTATTCTTTGTGTAGCCTCAATATCATTTCTTAAACTAGAACTTTATGAACATCACTAACATTTTTGTAGAACATTCACCCAATTTCCCATTGAAGAAGCAAATTTTTCTTAAAAATTTCATCTAAACGTTTAAACTCTTTCATATTCCTTCGAAATTTTAATGATACATGCCTTTTTGTTTATCTAAGTGATAATGGATTTGGTTTTGTGATCAAGAGTGTAAATTTTAATTTCGAATTTTGGTAAAAAGATTCGACTGATCCTTAATCACGACTATGTCACCATCTGCCCTGAAATACGAATCCTGCCAAAGAACTGTTTCTAAAAGTTTATCTGAAAGAAAAGGGAAATAGACAAGAAACAAAAAGCATTTAAAAACCTTTTTTCCCCTACTGCATTTCTAAGAAGTAAGAATCCATCTGCGGGGTGAATCTTACCAAGTGTTATACTCTTGATATTACAATCAGGCCTCAATTTTATATGAATTTAGTGTGGCATAAAAGAGTAACCGTCTTTTGGTCTTTTAGTTGCAGGCCAAGTTTGAGCGCCTGAAGCGCGAACATGCTGAAGAGAAACGGAAGCTGGAAGACTCCCGACGACAACTTGAAGAGGACATCATCGAGTTCAACAGACGCAAGCAACAGTTCGCGACTTTGGGGAACAGTCACACCCTGACATTGGGCAAGAGCAAAAAGAAATAATATTACAGCTTGGACTTGTGCCAACTCATCACCAGTCTGTTTGTTGCCCCAAACGAGGCAACGGAGTGCTGATCAAGGAATCTGTACTATTAGCCTGAATTTTGAGCAGATTTTTTTATAATGCTCTAAAATATATATCCAATACTCAAGTCATTTTCACTTTATTTATAAGCAATTTTTAAGCTTCTCTTTTGTGATGTGCATTATAGTTACGAATTTTAACCAGGTGTATAGGAAATTCCGAATTATCAGTTCTCTCTCATAATCTGCATCAAAACTTTCTTCAATCTACTTCTTGACTCTCAGAAAAATGTCACCTGATGCTAATTAACGTCTTTCTGGCGTGAAATTTGTTGAATCTCATTTTTTCTTTATATAATCCAAATTATTTATTGTATCAAAATTTTTATTCCTTCAATCGGATTTTCTAAAATTTTTCTGAAGTCTCTTGACTGTTCATTTCATAATTTTCTACATCATTTTAAATTATTGATAGTCAACAAAAATATTGGAAAATTATTAATGCTGGTTATATCAGGTGGAATTTTAATCCATCTTATTTCTTGACACTATTATTTATTTTTTTATTAATTTATTGTATCATGGGAGTTCTTTTCAAAGGTAATAGTTTCAAATTAAGTGAGAAATATACTGAGTCATCTTTTCTGGTTGATCCAGTCACAGCTTTCGCTAACCATCCTCGTTTCTCTTGAACTAATTTGACTTATTCACAAGCGGTGAAGTCCCTACAGAACCAAAAAATATTTAAGTAGTATTAAGCCATTGATTTTGGATACATCTTTTCGATAATTCAGACACAAAGTTAGTCATATTTTACTGCAGCAACACTGCTAGTAAAGAACCCTTCAGAGCATCTGTTTCTGAGGATCTGCAAGCTGTAGTTTCTCCTATTTCATGTGTTCAACTCTTTCGAAAGATAGTCAAAACAATTATGTATTGTGGCATCGAATTTAGTGCATATGAACCGCTATTAGGGGAACATTGTATTAAGCATGACTTCGAATTGAGTCTTTAGACTTGACTATGTGCCTCATCTATCAACCAATCTACTTCGCTTGTTCTTTGTTGTAGTCAAAGTGTAGCTAAGGAAGAATATTTTCTATCCAGTGAACATACACACTTATTTTGTGTCACAAAAAAATTGGCTGAAGTATATCGTCCGCCTTGAAGTTTTACTGTCGCAGATATCTAATGTGCATTTTCTCGAAAAAATGCAGTTTCCTCCCTCTTCAGTGGTGTAATATTTGTTTCTTGTAGTGAAAGTCTGAATACCAATTATTGCATGGAAAATCGTTATCAACCCTCTCATTACCAAGCTAGGTTCTGCCTGTGCACATTTACAATGAACATCGGCTATCTTAAAAACGGACCAGAGTACATTTTATTGGGAAACAGCTTGGAAGTTACAGTCAATACCTTCCTTGATTGATAAATGATTACCACTGAGTGAAGGCTATTCAATAATGGAGGAAATGCAACGAAGAAAACCTTCAAGTCAAACGCAGATGCTGCGTCTATAATAATTAGAGCGTTGTAATTAGGGACATTGGGTGTAAGTCTTCCTTTTAATGATAAGAGAACATTCTGATCTGTTTACCCACTTCTTCCAGCTACACTAAGGCTCTGATACCTCTTGTACATATATTTCAGACTTCCACAACTATGTTCCCTTTTGCTTTTGATGTTTTATGTCTTGTGCATTACTTAATTAGCAGTATTAACTAGTCTGGGTTTTTCAGTTGTTAATTTAATGTCAGTCAACGATAATCACAAAAGTATCGACACCTATGCAGTTTTATTTTTACTTTTTAGGAACTTTCCAGCTGTTAGTATTGTCTGTCAATACCATTCTCTTTCCCTTCGAGTTTCTTCTCACTCTCATACTGCAGGAAATATTCGGAACTTAATTCCTCATCAAGCCGCCATCACTTTTTTTCCATACAGCTAATTTTGAATATTTTTACATTTTTTCCTTTCAGGATTTAGCAATTGTGATTATTGCTTTCAGATCAAAATTAGTTTGTAGCATCTTAAAACAAAAACTCTGAAAGCCTGACTTTAATACTATTCGATCAACAAGCAACTTCCCTCCTGAAGTTTTTTATAATCTTTTGTAATATTTCTTAGGAATTCATGGACCAACTCACGGTGAATGCATTATTTTGATCAAAAGTTCTCAAAACTTAATCATTCAAAAGAAGAAAAAAAGAAAGTGAGAATAGAAACACACCAACTCGGATTTTTTACCTTTTCTCTTGTTTATGATTTAGTTTTGCTCGTCAGTAAATGCATCCACACGCTGCACTGACAGTCAAGGAGAATAAACAGCAAACAAAATGATGAGAAAAACAACGAAGAAGAATGAGAATCTCTGAGAAACGAATGCAATGTGTATCCATCCACTGTGCAGTTTTTTGTGTCTCCTGAACAGTTTCATTTTGCCCAGTTTATGTGTTTTCATTCTTACTGATTCAAATGTAGAAGTTACCAATCTGGACCCTCTTCATCTTGATGAAAATACAACACTGACATCTATCAATAATTTATTCTTTAGTGAGTAGTAAATAAGAGACCCACATGCAGTGATCCATCTATCAGTGTATTGGATCATTTAGTAGTTTAAATTTGAACGAATTTCATCTCGAAAATATCTTTGTTTATTCCATGGAAGAACTGGTCTATGATCCCTAGAAGACAGAATTAATTTATTTGAGTCTGGACGAACTGAGTATAATCGTCCAAATGTTTTTGCATTTATTTTATAATTTATTCTTATTGTATCCTCAACTTTTTGGGAGGAAAAAATATAATTAAAAGTAATAAATTGTATTTTTTATTTATCAATATTGTGTGCTACTTTTCGTTACAATAATTTTTCCAATTGTAAATTTTCCTCAGAGAACGAAATTTCTTAAAAGTAAATGAGTGCAGGAAATAACCTCTCAGCTAGCATGTGCTTTGTGATGAACACTGGAACAATTTAAAGAAACAAAATGGTTTTGAAAGAAAGTAGAAAATTTGGATTAATATAAAATAATTTCTTTGCCATCAAATTCAGTTGCGACGATCAAATATCTCGAGGAAAGGGTTGGACCAATAAAAAATAACTCATAGCCATTCAATTAAATATAGTTTAATTATTCAACTCTTACATCAAAAACAGACTTTTAAAAGCAGCTCTTAAAGCAATGCTAATTTTAATGACCCAAGTTTTGGTTCAGTAGACATAATGTCAAGTCAAAATTAAAATAATACTTTATCAATGTTGTAAAAATCTTTAAAAACTATGGTAACAGCTTCACTTACAATAAAAATGGCAACTGGAAACTTTAAGGTTCAAAACAAGGGGGAATCATATTCAAGTAGTTTAATAATTCTACCATAATGAATTATGAGAGGCCAATTTTTGTCAGGTTGAACACAATTTCGCATTTTGACTCTCGCATTTAAATGATTGCATTGCTTTACTCTTTCAATCAGCAGTTCTGAAAGAGCTCAATAACATACTTGTATGTTGACTTACATCATGAAAGACCGCTTACAATAAGGTCAATAAGGCTTGAAATCCCTAAGAGCAAAAACAGCAATTGCATACTTTTTATCGTCTCATGCACAAATGAACTCACTTCGATTGCACTGTTCCAGTATTTCTCATCGACATTTTATTTTATTTTTATATTTATATTATTATTTTTTCATTGGAAAACCGTTGCACACATTTGCTTGAAACGTACAGTTAATTTTTTTTTTACGTTTGTGAGAAGAGATCTTAAAATTCTCGGATATTTGTGCAATGGTTCTCCCATGAAAACATATTCGTAGAAATATTGAAATAGTGCGGACGAGATACGTTCCTTTGTTTCAGAGGGAAAACGTTTATATAGGAGCTATTTTTTAGAAAAATAAGAAACATGAATTTTTTTTGTTTCTCTTTCGCTAAAATATCAATTGCCTAATCTCAGCAATTTTGCCTTTGCTCTTACTGATTTATGAGACTCCGGACATCCAGTCACAAGGTTTGTCAGTGCTAAAGAAATTTCATGGGTTGTTCTATCAAGACTGCGAAGACAGAAGACACGCAAACTATTTAGCACATATAGAAGAAATCTGCCGATCAATGCAGAAATTTCCCCAGGCAACAGTAAGGCATCAATAAACAGCAACACAAGTATAAATGAGCGATCTTATGCAATATTGCAATAAATGTATAATAATCTGTAGAGACTTAGGTAGGTGGATAGAGTAATGAGACTAGTTACAACATGAGAAGAAAAGAAATGAAGAAGATTACGGGATACTTGGAGAGGTAGAGAAGATTTTACAAAAATAGGGATTGAATTACGAATGAAGGAATGTTGAGTTCGAAATATTTACATCAGGATAGGGTACTTTTTTGAAATGAAAAGTTGAAAAAGAAAAAAAGGATTGGCGATTGCTGAGCCATTCTTAACAATAGTCTAATTTTTACATTTCAAAAAATAATCTGACAAAAGTTGAATTATTTATAGAGGTTCAACTCAGTTAAAACATACTTAAGGTTAAGTTTAACCTTAAACCTGCTTAAGCTTAAGGTAGTTGTGCGGTATAACAGTGCAGATTGTTGAGAGTATTTTTGCGCAAGGTCTCAGTTTTTTAGTCGTTCTCTCTGCCCAGACCCAGATTGAGGCATCCGATGTTGGAATGAAATCAAGCATGGTAATACCAAATTGTTTTTGCAATGAATCATGAAATGTTTCCAAAAAGTAATAGCCTGGATTCCTACGTAAGTAGCAACTGCATACTTCTGCTGAGGAGGGATGCCTGTTCCCTATCCAAATATTATTTGCTTATAACCTCTGTGAGTTGTCTATAGGAACAATACATATATTTGAATTTTTATTTGCTGATCATAGTGTCAAGTTTTAAATCCTCAAAGGATACTTTGGAGGTATTACAAAATATTATGGGCGAAACTAGGAATTTTTCTTTGGGGCCGGGGGGAGGGGGGGAGGGGATTTTGGATTTTAAGGCAAGGAAGGCATTTCACCAAGGAGGATAGGGGCATCTCCTAGCCTCAGAGGGAGAGCCCAAGAGGCCAAGGAGGCTTCCTTTGAGTTGTATCAGGAATAGTTTTGAGCTTAGCTTTTCAACAAATATGTCAAATAACATTTCAAAGATAACTGAAATGTTGCGCAGTTATTATGCTATACCCCCTCAATTTTCTGATAGAGTCAAACTAGATATCCACGGTTAGAAAGGGAGGGGGGGTGCAGTCAACTCTGCCCTAGTTTCGCCCAAGTACCTACATCATAGTATTATCGAATTGAATGATGTCACAGATGAAGTTGTAAGCAGCTGAGTAAAATAATTATTTTGCTGGATGCTTATTCGTATAATCTTGTATGTATTGTATCAAGGTACCAATTAATTTCCATAAAATTATTTTCTCTTAGAGTCTACATTGTAAAAATGTTGAAGAATAAAATATTGAGCGCAGACATATGCTATTTAACTATCATAAAACTCATTATTAGAGTTAGAGAACTCAAAGTTTATTTTTGTAATATGGAACGACACACAGTGCCTAACTAGTTGGAACAAAGCTAGCAAACAGACAGTTGGTAGTGCCTGTTTGAAATGAATACTCCCTTTTCAAAATATAAGTTCAAGCAAAAATCTAGTGTCAAAAAAAAAGAATAGAAAGGAATCATAGGAAGGCTTCATTTACTTCAGAAGACTGAGCAAAAATCGCCTTCAAAATCGTATATATGCAACCCCACGACGACCAAGTTAAAATAGTTATCGCTCATATTTAATAGAGGATTTTGAAGGCGCCTTCAAATTTTCGGCACGTCATAATTCATAGCCTCTTAATGAAGCCTCACACATAATAAAAATAATAAAGGACTAAGCGAGGACGAAGCAGAGGAAAAATTCCAAGAGTCATTCTCCAAAAAAATTTTCGGAAAAAAAAACGATTGGGCACAGTTTTCGGTTTACTTTAGACCAATAAATATTTTATAAAAAATGTACAAAAAATTTAAAGTGTCCCGAGGATTGAAAAAATTTTCCCCCAAACTCCTTCATCTGTAACATTCTTCAATCACATGACGTGTCTCTAATTTTCTGTACGGTAACAATTCATCGGTACTTATACCGATGGCCAAAGTTCAAAACCACGAAGGTAGGTATCTCTAATGCAGTGCTTCAACATTTCCACTTTCTTTTTTCTTTTTTCGGAAAAAACCAAGCAAACTCAACAGTTTGAAATTCATACAGAATCCTCCGTTTACAGAGAAGAAAAATCAGTGAAGTTTTCAATAAATTACGTCGACTAGTTTTTCAGAGGAAAAAATAAAGCATAATAGGGAGTCTGCAACGTTTCAAACGGAGATACGTGGTTTTGCACTTTGGCCGACGATATGAGCGTTGGAGTCCGAGGTAAAGTTTCGCCGCTGGTTTTCGTCTAAAATCACATGAAAACAAATCTTTCATCCTCTCTAACTCATGGCACTTTGATGGGATAGTCCCAGCTGTCGTGACACCTTACCCATCAAAATGTCGTCTGGGTGAAGATTGGAAACAATGGAGTTTGTTGTATCGAGCGACGTGAAAGTAAGTGCGCCTTCAGTTTTCTGCATATGCAATACGGACGTCCATCAAGCACGAGTAGTTGCACCAATTCGTTTGCTGTAACTTCATGATCTTCGATCCTCTTCTATTACCCATCCGATTACTGATTTATTCAGTCTGCCTTTCGCAATACCTAAATGAAACTCAATCCCTCCACGTGAATGTCATGCGAGGGAACAGAACTTAATATTTGTTCTCGTAAGCGAAGATGAAAGTTACGCAAACTTTTAACGACATACGTAACATAGCGGTTCCTCAGGTGGTAATAATTAAATAAAATGTAAATAAAAATCCCTGATTGTGAAAAAGTCGAAAGTGACTCTAACTTTTACCTTATTTATTAACGACACAGAGAATGCTTGAAAAGTTGAATTAAGATGTTTTTTTTTACGGACTTCTGCAGTTTTTAGAAATAGATCTTTTGATTTTTATTGAGAAAAGTACCTTCTTTTAGTACCCTAGTGACAGTTAAAGAAAGACAACGTGGCTTTTCTGTAGATTGTGACCTTAAGCTTGTCTCTCAGAGCTCCTTCACCCAGGAGCAGGTCTCTGTGAACCTTATAAAACAGCCATTGATTACAGACTCTTGCTTATGGTGTTTTCTAGATCTCGTTTGTTTTAACACTCAATAGTAGGTACTTAGTGTCGGATAAAAACATATAATTTTCAATTAAAGTTTATGCAGAATGTCGTCTAGTTGGTGTTCAAATTCAATACCTTCCAGGGGAACTCTCCCAAAAATGGATGTTTATCTCGTTTCCAGAGCGCGGCTTCTGCTTGCCTTTAAAACGTATAATAAAGGAGCAACCTTAAAATACAGTCAGACCGATTCTGATTGTTCAACTTGTTCTGATTGTTCTGACTGTTCAACTTCAGTGACCCAATCAAAAATGGGGGCAATTTTTTTGGAGCCTCTTCCAGCCCAGCGACCGAAACACCAACGAACCGGTTTCAAGAATAACGAATTGAGCTTATGTTAGAGACTGGTCTCCATGTATAATAATAAGCAACCCTCAAATACAGTCAGACCAACTCTAGCTAATACCGGCCAACTTCAGTGACCCAATCATAAATAGGGGCGATTTTTGGAGCCTCTTCCGATCCAGCGACCGAAGCACTAACGAACCGGTTTCAAGAATAACGAATTGAGCTTATGTTAGAGACTGGTCTCCATGTATAATAAGCAACCCTCAAACACAGTCAGACCAATACCGGCCAACTTCAGTGACCCGATCAAAAATAGAGGCGATTTTTGGAGTCTCTTCCAACCCAGCGACCGAAACACCAACGAACCGGTTTCAAGAATAACGAATTGAGCTCATGTTAGAGACTGGTCTCCATGTAGAATAAGCAACCCTTAAATACAGATTCCGGCTAATACCGGCCAACTTCAGTGACCCAATAAAAAATGGGGGCAATTTTTTTTGGAGCCTCTTTCAACCCAGCGACCGAAACACCAACGAACCGGTTTCAAGGATAACGAATTGAGCTTGTGTTAGAGACTGGTCTCCATATTAATATACGCCCTGGGCGGGTTATCCGGGAGCCGGATCTCCGTGGAATCAGACCTCCTCTGGACGGGCCAGAGGGCTCTTCGGCAGATCTCTCCGCGCTCCGTGAGGGACCGCGTGAGCGTGGAGATGGTCGGGAACCGGAGAGCTTCTTCGTAGGGCGGGGGCGGCTCCTCGACCGGCGAGGTGACCCGACACCCGCCGAAGGGATCGTTCGGGAACGTCTCCGTCAACGGCGCCGCGTAGTACAAGAGCATCCCGTTCTGCGTCGACGACCGCGTCAGTGGCGGCATCGGCGTTGTCTTCACGCTGAAGATCCCACCCCACGACCGACGGTTCTCCCGCCGCCGCTCCCGGCTCGATGCCGAGATGCTGTTGTTGTTGTTGTTGTTGTTGTTGTTGTTGTTGACGTTAAAGCTAAATAAACTATTTAAGGCATTGATTCTTAGGCTTGGCGCGCTCCCGCAATGAGCCTGCGCCGATCCGACCCCAGTCGGTATACTCTCAGTCTGCACCGGTATACTCTCAGTCTGCGTGCTCCCTGTGTGCGTTTGAGTTTCGAGTGGTGGGTCGCCAGAGGGCGCTGGAGGGGTGGGGTCGTCGACCTGGATGAGGAGGGCTTCGGAGTAGCTGGGGATGAGGCAGACGTTCTCGCTGCAGCTGAACTCGACGTCGTCGCTGGAGAGGACGGCCGAGTTGACGGAGTCGGTCTCTCGGGCGGTTGGCACGCGGGTGAAGGTGAGGGGGCCCGCCACCGGGGGCGGGGCGGGGGGCGCGGGAGGCGCCGGGGGAGGCAGCAAGGCTGGTGCTGGGGCTGTGTCGTAGTTCACGCCGAACAGCTTGGTCACCTGAAATCATTATGAGGGAGTTAGGACGACTTTAAAGCACATACACAATATGGTGTTGATAGATGAGCAGTCTTGGTAAAAATACCGAGTTACTAATGCCTACACTGGAAAAAAAAAAGAAAAAAAAAGCACATTGGATCTAGCGCCCAGGCCCCAGACTCTTGAAAACATTGACAAGAAAAAGGATTCTTGATTCAAGCAGATTTAACCTTAAATCAAAAGGAAATCCGCTCAAATTAAGAGCCTTGGTCCTTGTTTAAGCTTAAATCTGATTGAATCAAGAGTATTTTTTCTTGTTGATGTTTTTAAGAGTCTAGACTCTAGATCCAATGTGTTTTTTTTTCCAGTGTACGGAACGAATTTAACACTAACTAAGTTTATACTGATTCCTATCTCGGTCAGTTGCATTCTCATTTTCTTTTTTTGATTTTTTCAAATTTTAGCTTTGGTTCCAGTCCAGAATGGGCATGTAATTTTCCTGAACGTCCTGAGCGTATTTCTGTTTATTACTCTGTTTTTAGCCTTGTAAACCCGTTTGCGGTGTAATTCTCTTACACTTACTAAACACGCAAGCTAAAAACCATAACACTTTAAAAACCCTGTCTGTGAATTTGTTAAGCAATACATTCGCAAAATATCTCGTTGCTTAGTTTTCTGTTGAAAAATTAAATTGTGTGAGAAAAAATAAGGAAACGTCAGGTGCAGACTATGTGGAGCGGCTAATTCTTCCGTGCTAAGGAAGACCACCGTATGAGTCTTCAAACGTTGCCAAATGTCCTCCAATTAAATTCGAATTAAATGCGGGCAAATTGTGGATGTTTTTTTCAAATTTTTCAGACAATTGTTTCCGGAATTTAATCCAAAAAATCTAACTATTTCAAGGAGACATATGCATAATTTCCCTGAAAAATGCATATTTTGTCCTGGGGACATTTGGCAACTCTTGAATGTTCATACGGCGTTCTCCCTTAGCAAGGCAGAATTCAGGATAAATTCGTCGAAAAATGCATGAAAACTTAACATAGGGTCATGGTAAAACGAGAGGTTCAGTGACCGACCTGGTAGTGGACGTAGGCGGTATTGTACTCGAGGAGAAGGCGGAGGGGCCAGGATAGAAGGCAGGCGGATGAGATCCAGAAGACGGGCTGGGAGGCGAACCACGGCGGGTGATCCGGGTCGTGGACTACGATGGCCGCCTCCTTGAAGTTGGAGACGTTGCTCAGCTCGAGGCCTTCCCGCATCTCCATGTAGTCGTCGTAACGTTCGTGCTCCGCGAAGAACCGAGCCCGCTGCTCCTCGAAATCCGCCGCTGCGTCCACATTTGCAAATGCGAAACCTGCCCGAAAATCAAGAGATCCTTACAATCATCATCGTCATAGTCATCATTATCATTCAAATACCATCAGGGAGCGTTCATAAATAATGTGACGCACCAGGAGAAGAAGGGCGAAGCGAGACACAACCACTGAGGGTCCAGCAGGCTGATTATTAAAATTGATAGACAAACGAGTTTGTCGGAAAACTTACTAGGTCCTAGTACTCACATTCAATAACGTTTAGCATGATTTTTGAACTTCATTAGAGGAAAAAGTGACTTGATTCAAGCAGAAATATGCTCAAATGTACCGCCGAGAAGATTTCCTTACGAATCAATAAAGAAAATAATTCTTAAGTACTGAGGAAAAGATGCCTTTATATAAAAAGGAAAGTCACATCAAGCAGAAACCCGCTTTCATTCAGCGATTTTATTCTTGATTCAAAATAAAATCTTATTGACGGCACATTCAAGAATGTTTCTGCGTAAATCAAATCACTTTTTTCTCTAATGTAATTCAAAAATTATGCTAAATGTTATTAAATGCGGCTGCTAAGATTTGGTGAGTTTTTGGACTACCGCTCTCTTTTTGTGCCGTAGTATCTTGATTTATTTTGCGAGGATAGCTCCGTACCTACTCTTAAATGGTGAACTAATGGATCTGATGGTGATCTATGGTGGATATCTTAAGTTGGAGATCTTTCAATTTCGTATGATACCGTGCAACACCTCTGTTGCGAAATAGTTGCTTAAAGCGCCGTGGTGGGTGAGGGCGACCAGCGCATCGGTGCCTACAAACCTATCAGGGATACTTCACGCATTGCGCAATGCGTGAAGTATCCCTGTTAGGTTTGTGGGCGCTTGTGCGCATGTCGCGCTGGGCAGCACGCCGCTCCGCTCTGTGTTTGGCTCTAATATTTAAACTCGCGGAGTCAGCATTTTTCAACGTATGATTTTGAAATATTTGCGCACTCTATATTAATTATTCTTATTTAAATTGATGAAAAAAAAAATGATGAAAAAAAAAAAATGATGTATGAAAATAAAATATGACGAGTGTCTTTAAAGATTAAGGTGGGTTCCGTCAACTTTTATACCTATGCAAGTTCGTTAGAAAAAAAGAAAACAAGGACAAAAACAACATGAATTTGATATTAACCTTTGCTGAAGCGAATTTTCGTGATAGGCCGTTTGGCCTGATTGAGGACAATACGTTTAGAAATGTCCTTGACCCCACAGAAGGTGTAGACGAAGCTGGATCCAGCCGCGTGTGAGTTGACCCTTTCGTAATAGACCTGCGTCGCCGTGTACGAGTCCCCATTTCGGTAGCGCGTCACCTGTCGCTTCCGACGAACGTAATGATAGCACACTGCTTTCCACCTGCACAATAAGTAAATGTAAAAAATTAATGAGGTCTCACATCAAGAACCTGATCACGCCGAAGAATGAGGAAAGATCACGCACACTAGTAAAAATTATTGATGCATCTACTCGAGCAAAATTCAATTAATTATTTAGGAAGGCGAAATAACTAATTTACTGACAAATTAGAACGGCGCGGCGCGGAGTGTAGAGTACGCCAGCCGCGCACGGTCGAAAACATGCAACGAAGTCAGAACGCCTTCAATTTTTCTCTATGCAATATGGACATCCTTAGAGTACGAATAGTTGCGCATTCAGGCGTCAGCTTCAACATCACTCCGCGCCGCGAGTTGCGGAACGTTGCGTACACTGGCCAATTAAGAAGTCGCCTCTTTCGATAAAAAGTCAAATGAAAGCACGAAAAAGTCAATATTGTATCCTGTTATTGATGTTATCCTAAAGAGTGAAAAACTAAGAAAATGTAATTTGAAGCACGGTTTTACTTCTAGAGATATGAAATCAGTTCAAGGCTTAAAACAGAATGTCGAATGTTTATTTAGTAGAAATATGGATTGATCTATTTTCTAATAATTTATTTTGACAGATTCAATAAAATAGGTACCAAATCAAATGAAATTAGACAGGAGAAGAAGCAGGTCCAAAAATTCTCGCTTGCAGAGTACTCAATGTAAAAATGAACTCCTTGATTGAATTCGACTTAATCCAAGTAGCCCTCACAATTTTATCGCATTAGTTTACAATAAATTCGCGATTTTATTGATCGCAATATTATCGAACGGAAAACCGTTATGAATTGAGATAAAATTTCTTCTTCATGGAGCGCTATTTTACAGAGATAAAATTGCGCCAAGGTTGACGATAATCGCTCTGATGTTGATGATCCTCTTGATTTTATAGCAAAAAAATCGTGAAAAAATCGCAACTTAATTTTAAAATACCGCCATTTTTCCGTCGAAAATTTCTTCTTGGGCCCTGCTTCAAAAAAGCGTCATAAGGGGTTTGGGAGGGGTCCAAATGCGAAACAAGTGCGTTACGTAGATCACGAACGTTCCCAAACTTGGTCCAAATGAACTAAATGAAGAAGAATTGGACTCATTTATGCTAAAGGAACTATGTTCCACGCAAACCCTATGCACATAGTTCCTTTTGGCATAAATACGTCCAATTATGCTGCACGCAAATCCTATGCACATAGTTCACTTAATTGAGTTAATTTCCACAAAGTTGTTTCAGCATACGCACATTACATCCACGCAACACTCGAACGATTCCAAATGGGCCGTTAAAGATGCAAAGCCGAGCGAAGCTGGCAGACTATGAGCCCGGCGTAATTTAATACAGGTGCAAATTGAGAAACACCCAAGGAGCACGTCGCAGAAGCGAGTGATTTCATCCTAGTTCAACCTCACCGCGTGACACGGCGGGGATGCGGGCAGGGGGCGGGGATAGGAGGGGTGGAAGATGAGTCTCTGCAGGAGTCGAATCTCGAATCCCTGAGTCGTGTCCGCCTCGGGGGTCGTGTCAGGCCGTCGCACAAAGGGTCAATTCAATCAAAGAGTTCGGAAATGAAATTTTTGACCAAAACTAATAATTTTGATGTTTATTTCGTCACATTTTAAATTTTAAGGGGTGGTTCTTAATAGAAATTTCACTAGGAAATCGATGGAGCCATTTTTCTCAAAGTCTTGAATAAATGGAATTATAAGCGTTTAAAGTTTCCGAATTTTGTCCGATCCATCCAATTGACTGGATCCACCGTGCGTCGGGCCGTCGGGTGGGAGCGCGGGAGGCATCAATCTGGGGTTCCCGCGGCTCGCTGCAGTCACTGCAGATTGTTATGAAATGCGCTTTTCAACAACTTTAGCGCCCCCGCCCGCCCCCGCAGCCGCCCCCTCCCGCGGCCTCCAACTTGGGCCGCTCGTCCAACTTCGCCGTGCTCCCGCCTCCGCCAAATTGGTAAGATGACAAAGTCTGCGGCGAGCTTTTGTCAGTCTGGAGCGGAGTTACAAGACTTTGAGCACGGGCAGGTCGTTTGAGTTCGAGAGGAGCGAATATTAAAATCCCCGTCGGAAATCCTGGTGGAGCTCGTAAGTGCGATGCACGGTGAATCCAGTCGATGGCAGAGGTCGGACCGAAGATATAAAGACGGAGCGTTAAAAGCAAAAAATGAAGCTTCTTTTCAATCACCTCTACTATTGGCTAGAGGATTGGCGGCGAAATCGGGGCAAGTTTGAAATTCAAATGTAGGGCGGGAACTAAATAAAATTGCGGAAACAAAGTATTCTAGGTTGATTTTTGCCCAAATTCACTTACCCACTCATATTTTTTTAACTTTAGGTTAGTTTTAGTCCGTCGTCGACCGATTAATTTCATTTGGGAGTAACGGTCATCTAGGACTGTAACGGCCTGTTTGAACCGGCAGAACCACCATGAGCAAAAGAAAAACTAACTTTATCTGAGATTACTGCCTATTACCGAGCAAAAGTAGGTGTATTATATTAGGACGCAGTCCCAACTTTCTTAATATAATCGTTTCAGGCATTTAAAACACGTTTAAAAGAAGAAATGTGGAAAAATCAAGAGGACAAGTTCAAATCAAATTTCCGTTTGCCGTCATGGATTCCCGCGCTCATTTACACACTCACACAAGCACTCAGCGCCAAACCAGGCTTCATTTTTTCCCCGTGCTTTTAGATACGAGCACTCCGTCTTTATGTCTTTGGGTCGGACGGAATTTGGGAAATTTGAAAGCTTGTAACTAAGTTTATTTGAAATTTTGAGGTTCTAATAGTGGTTCCGTTGGTTTCCTCGCGAAATTTCCTTCCACAAGCTCTTAAAATTTAAAATGTGGCGGGGGTCGTGTCAGGCCGTCGCACAATGGATCGCGTCAATCAGAGAGGTCGGAAATGAAATTTTTGACTAAAACTGCAAATTTTGATGTTTAATTCGTCACATTTTAAATTTTAAGGGGTCCCTCAAAAGAGAAATTTCACGAGGAAACCAATGGAAGCAGTTTCAGAATCTCAAAGTCTACTTGCATAAATGGAGTTATAAGCGTTTAAAGTTTCCAAATTTTGTCCGATCTATCCAATTGACTTGATCCAAAAACTTTAAAAGCTTATAACTAAGTTTATTTAAAATCTTGAGGTTCTAAAAGTGGTACCATTGGTTTCCTCGTGAAATTTCCCTACACAAGCTCTTAAAATTTAAAATGTGGCGGAACAAACATCAAAATTTGCAGTTTTAGTCAAACATTTCGTGTCCAGCCTCTCCGATTGACTCGATCCACTGTGCAATGGGGCGATGGGAAATTCACGCAAGTCCAACTTTAGTGTTTCGGATATGAGGTATTATCCTTTTTAATCTTAAAGTAAACCGCAGAGAGGAAATTTTATTAGTTTTAATCAATAAAAACGTCTAATGAATTCCGCACTGGTATTTTCCTTGGGACAACCGCACTATTAAAAATTTTGGAGTACAATTTATTGTGCCGAAGTCTACATGGCGCCCAAAAACCCCATAAGATATCAATGCGGAGCGGAATTTATCCTCCATACTGGATGACTTAAAGTAGAGAGATAAATGGACCGCGTTTAGCAGAAAGGAACCAAACCACACCAACTATTGCCAAATTTAACTTGGTAATTCAATTTTTTTTTACAAGAAAACGTTGGTGCGGATCTCTTTGAAACTTTTGAGGAATTTGCTTCGTATTATGCAGAAAATTCACTGAAATTTGTACACAAATCTGCACAAACGTTTTCATGTAGAAAATTAAAGTACCCCATTGAATTTGGCAATAGCTAATATGGCTTGGTTCCTTTCTGCTCAACGTGGTCCAAATTGGAGACACACGTAAGTCTCTCGTCATTTGACTTTTGTGCTCTTGCACTCTCTTGCACTATAACGTGGATTAGCTTTTTTGAGGAGATAAACACAATGGAGATGTTGCATGTGTGAGGAATTTGCAATTTGACTGTTGATTCTTACGTAAAAGTTTGCGAGAAAACACGATGGTGCCACTGGTTTTCTCTGAAATCAACTCCCAAGCTCAAAAACAGCTCTCAAGTTGAGGTCAAAATGGAGGGGATATTCCACCCTACCCTGAGAGTCCACGTCTATATCAAGACAAACTCTCCATGCAAAGGTAGGGAGCAAATACATTGACAGGGCTGCCACTTTATTTGGAGACTCCAAAACTGAAAACACGGCATCACTGCTAATTTATTTGCTCCCTATCTTTGCATGGAGAGTTTGTCTTGATGTAGAGGTGAACTCTCAGGATAGTGTGGGATATCCTCTTCATTTTGGGCTCAACTTGAGAGCTTTTTTTGAGCTTGGGAGTTGATTTCAGAGAAAACCAGTGGCACCATCGTGTTTCTCGCGAACTTTTACATACAAACTAATAGTCAAATCGCAAATTCTTCACACATGCAACATCTCCATTTGAATGTTACATTTCCTTTTTAAACTATTCCACAATTAAGAGAAAATCTGAAAGGAGAATCGGCTAAAAACGCCAAACTTGACAAGCTCGCGAGCTCTGGACGACCGACGCTCAATCGTGATTTTTCCGGCTTTATTCGTTTCAATCCAGCACCTACCTCGCTGCTTTCCGGTTCGATCGGATGTTTTAATTGGCCATTACAGGGACAATTCTAAGCAACTAATTTAAAGTTAAAGGCAGTTTATTTGGTTAAGTACTTGCTGGATGGCATCGACGTTATCGTTTATCTGTGCCGGAACCGCACGACCAATCTACATTGTGGCTTTATTACGACTTGCTAGGTGGTAGGAACAGAGATCGAGATGCTTGTATGAGGCCGATGGCTTTGGCAAGCACGTCACGTAGAAGCCTCTGTTGCCAAATTTCCAACTCTGCTCAGCCCAAAAGAGAGTTCCTTTGTCACTAGATTATTCTGTGACAGAGAATAGTGACTTATTTACACGTATAGTAAATCAATGCCTCTGTCTTGAGTAATTCAAAACCGGGTAAG